AAGGATCGGAACAACGTTAACAACGGAAAGAGAGAGAGAGAGAGAGAGTGATGACGGAGGCAACGACGATAGCTATACATTCGATTTTCCGATGATGTCTCAGCCGCAGCGACACAGTTCGTTTCAGATGATTGAAGGATCAATGGTTGGAGGAGGAGGAATGAGAGGAAAGAGAGGGAGAGTGATGACGGAGGCAATGGATAAAGCTGCAGCCTAAAGACAGAAGAGGATGATCAAGAACCGTGAATCCGCTGCTAGGTCTCGAGAGAGGAAACAGGCTTATCAAGTTGAGTTAGAGACTTTGGCTGCGAAATTAGAGGAAGAGAATGAGCAGCTTTTGAAGGAGATTGAAGAGAGCACTAAAGAGAGATACAAGAAGCTCATGGACGTTTTGATTCCGTTTTCTAAACGTTTGTATCCTAACAATTTTGTTGGTTGTTGAGAAATTAGAAAGTGTGGTTGGTTGTGTTTGATGTGATTATGAACTCTTGTAACACCAAACACCAATTACACCAATTACTTTGTCCTAATTCATCAAATTACATCAAAACCAAAAAAAAAAATTCTAAGAACCCCACAAGAGAAACTACCATTGGACTATGAAAATTAAAAAAAAAAACCCCAAGTTCTCATCTAAAAATTTCAAAAAAAAATATGTTTAAAAAATTGGTGAGAGCCCATGGGGGACTCTCACCATTGGAGATGCTCTAATATAGACAAAGTTATTGAAATATTATTAAGGGAATATTGCTCTATGGAGCACTTTTATAAAACTCAATCTCATGTTGGGGCACATTAGAGGTGGAAAGTCGGCCATTTCATACCCAACCTATACAGTAGTGTTCAATTCATACATGAAAGTTTACTATGTGCCAATACATACCCAATCTTTTAAAATTTTCAAATTTCATACCCAAACTTTTCAAATAGTGCGAAATCACACATCTCTTGTCTCTGTTGCTGACGTGGATGCCACAGTCGTTGAGGACGTTGATGACGTGGTTGCCACATCCTTCATGACGTCGTTGCCACGTCATCATCATTTTAAACAAAAATAAAAATTAATTTTTTTTTCTCTTCTCATTTTTTTCCATCACTATCATCCAACGGAACTGTGAAAAAAATTATATATTTGATGTAAGAATTTAAAATCTTCTTTTCGAGACTGATAACTAATATTTCAACCAAAACTAATATTTAAACCGAGTATATAAACTCCAAATTTACAATTCTTCTAAAAATCTTCAAATCACTTTTAGTAGTAAACATAAAAACAAAAAAACATAATTAAGACATCTTTAAGTTGATAACAAAAAAAGAGAACTTAATTACATATATTACTATTAGACTAAATTGTATTTTAAGAACAAAATACAATTTCTCATTACTGGTAAATGGTAATATTGTCTTTGTATCTTAACTTATATATATCCAAACAACCCTAATTGACAATGATAATTAATTTATATAAAAAATATTTTGTTTCTAAAAGACAATTATCAAATGATAATAAATGTAAACAATTTCTTCAAAGATTAATATATAAGATTATTGTAGGGTTTATATTTTTCATTGAAAGCAATTTGAAGTTTTTAGAAAAAGAATTGCGAATTTTGAGTATAGAAACTCGGTTTAAACATTAGTTTCGGTTAAAATATTAGTTATAAGTCTTGAAAAGAAGATTTTAAATTCTTACATTAGATATATAATTTTTTTCACAATTCCGTTGGATGATAGTGATGGACAAAAAACATGAGAAGAGAAAAAAAATTAATTTTTATTTTTGTTTAAAATGGTGATGACGTGGCAATAACGTCATGAAAGACGTGGCAACCACATCATCAACGTCATCAATGAGGTGGCATCCACGTCAGCAATAAAGACAAAAGTTGTGTGATTTCGCACAATTTGATAAGTTTGGGTATAAAATTTGAAAATTTTAAAAGATTGGGTATGTATTGGCACATAGTAAATTTTCATGTATGAATTGAACACTACTGAATAGGTTGGGTATGAAATAGCCTCAAACTATGTCTGGTTACTCTAAATCTATATATAATAGCAATCTAATAAATACCATTTGCACATCTGAATGGTTGCGTCTTTTTATCGCAACCTTTCGTTTAAATCGGTTATTTTTTTACGGTTATTTTGGTTGCGTATTTTTATCGCAATTTTCGTTTTAATCGGTTATTTTTTTTACGGTTATGTCGTTTCCAATAAATACCATTTGCACATCTAAATGGTTGCGTCTTTTTATTGCAACATTTCGTTTAAATATTTATGTTTTTTTTTTTACAGTTCTAAACGGTTGTGTCTTTTTATCACAACTTTCCGTTAAAATATTGACGGTTACTTTTTCGGTTGTGTTTTTCTCGCAGATCTTCGTTAAAATATTGATGGTTAATTTTTTGTTAACGGTTATTTTCGGTTATGTTATTGCAATTTTCCGTTAAAATATTGGCGCTTACTTTTTTCGTTTGACTTTTTTTATCACAATTTTCCATTAAAATATTAACGATTATTTTTCTTGGTTGTGTCTTTTTATCGCAACTTTCCGTTAAAATATTAAAGGTTATTTTTCTCGGTTTTGTCTTTTTATCAAAACTTTCCGTTAAAATATTGACGGTTATTTTTCTCAGTTGTGTCTTTTATTGCAATTCGTCGCTAAAATATTGACGTTTACTTTTTTCGTTGGCGGTTATTTTTTCGGTTGTGTATTTTTTATCGTAACTTTCCGTTAAAATATTGACGGTTAGTTTTTACGTTTTTGTCTTTTTATCGCAACTTTTCGTTAAAATATTGATAGTTATTTTTTCTCGTTTGTGTCTTCTTGATCGCAAGTCTTTGTTAAAATAATTACGGTTATTTTTTCCGTTGACGGTTATTTTTTTGTTGTGTCTATTTATCATAACTTTTCGTTAAAATATTGATGGTTATTTTTTTTGGTTGTGTCTTCTTGATCGCAACTCTTTGTTAAAATAATTATGGTTACTCTTTCCGTTGACGGTTATTTTTTTGTTGTATCTTTTTATGGTAACTTTTCATTAAAATATTGACGGTTATTTTTTTTTTGTGACTTTCTACCGTAAATTTCCGTTAAAATATTGACAGTTACTTTTTACGTTTGTGTATCTTTATCGCAACTTTTCGTTAATATATTTACGGTTATTTTTTTTCGGGTGTCTCTTTTTGATCGCAACTCTTCGTTAAAATAATTACAGTTATTTTCGTTGATAGTTATTTTTTCGGTTGTGTCTTTTTATCTTAATTTTTCGTTAAAATATTGACGGTTATTTTTTTCGGTTGTGTCTTTTTATCGCAACTTTTCGTTAAAATATTGACGATCATTTTTTTTCTGTTGTATCTTTTTATTGCAACTTTCCGTTAAAAATATTGACGGTTATTTTTTCTTGGTTGTATCTTTTTATCGCAACTCTTCTTTAAAATATTGACAGTTAATTTTTTTCGTTGACGCCTATTTTTTGGTTGTGTCTTTTTATCGCAATTTTCAGTTAAAATATTGACGGTAACTTTTTTCGTTCGTGTCTTTTTATCGCATATTTTCGTTAAATATTGACGGAAATATTTTTGGGACAGTTCTATTTGTTAAATTATAATCATATTTTTTTTTAGTTTATGGTTGTATCTTTATAGTTGCATCTATTCATTTAAAGTTACGTCTCTTCACTATATTTCATTGTATTTTTTCGTCACAACTTTTTGTATGAATAATTGTCTATTTAAGTATTTGTGACATTTGAACTCTATGTATTTGTCCTTCTTCCTAAGTAGTTCCCAAACTTTTGTTCTTTAACATAGATTATTTGTTTCATGATAAATCCAAAAAAAATCTGTAAAATGCCTTCTCTAAACTATTTCTAAACTATTTCTAAACATACATAATCTTAATATTAAAAAAATTCTTCTCATTTGACTAACGTTTTTTGAAGTGATTATAAAAATGGGGAAGTTTTAATCAACTTTAAATATAAAATTCTAATGAAAATACCAACAATTTTTTTCTTAGAATTTGACGGATTATACAGTAACTTTTTTTTATTTAACTATTTTATATGGTAACAATGATGCTTTCTATCTTAAAGCAATATATATGGGTTGTATACAACGAAATATTGATGTTGAGTTAGCACTATTACAAAGTCGGAATATGAGAAGACATCCTCATGTGACGCTTGTGATTGGGCGCTCTGAATGTGATAATCATTAAATAAACCGTTTCAAATAGTATAGTAATCCAGAAATCATCTCCATTATTAGGAAAAAAAACAATGGTTCCAATTCGTCACATGAATATTCAAGAGAGAAGTTTTATTACTCAGTTAATTTAAATATAAATAAATGAGATCTTGTAAATGTTTATTTGTTTGTTATAGATGTAATTTAAATCATCAAATTTTATATACTTTCGAATATATATAATAAAATAAATATTAATTTTATATTTAAAAGAACAATGGACAAACAAAAAACACCAATTCTCGAGCAAAGTTCTTAGTCACCTACAAGTCATGCTGAGTACAGACTCCATCTGAATTTTTGGGTTTTGACCGGCTAGAATTTTTCATCTCTATATTATAACTCTTTGTTATGTATTTTGTCACCTTTTTTTTGTCGAAAGTGAGATATATTTTGTCACTTATAAATAATTTTACATTCATAAAAAATGTTTCAAAAGTATTTTTAATCATAATTATTTTTTTCATTTTTATTCATAAAATTTTTAACATCTTTGGAAAATATTTACGTTAAAACATAGTTAATTTTATGTAATAATTCAAATTTTTGAATATATTATCATAATAATTTAATACATAAACACAATCAAATATATTTGATGAAAATGAGTTCCCCCGCGATATCGCGGGGGTTCATAACCTAGTATTTCATAATAAAAAATTAAAATAATTATTATTACTCTCTTCTCTTCTCTTTCTTTCATTTTTTCTGAAGCCAACCAAAAGTCTTTCTTTTTTACTAATATTTTCATTAATTGATTCTCAAAATTAAACAAAAAAAAAACGAAACCACAGATGCGTTCTCTTCCTTCTTCGATGCTCAACCTAGTAGCAGAAGCTGGAGCTATGATTCTCTTAAAAACATCCGTCAGATTTCTCCCGCCGTTCAAAATCATCTTAAACGGGTGAGTTTCTTCGTCGCCTATGCTATTCATGTCGCACTCTAACCGCGATTTCTAGATTAATTAGAGGCGCTTGTTATGCGATTCAATGAGATTCTTTCGTTTTCTTCGTATTGATTGCTCTATGTTTCTAGATTTCATTTCAATTTCTAGGATTTGGCTTCTGTTGAACGAATCATTGCGATTGTGCTCTCCATAGATTTCTAGGGTTTCTAATTGCGTATTTCCATGTATTAGTTTGTTAATATTTTACTTGCTTATGATTCTGTGGAGATATTTCGTTGATCGTTATGTTCGATTTACATATAAATGGTCTGTTAAAGGGAATTTGATTTTTATAAAGGAATGTTACTCATTGGTTGTGGTACATGTGGTGGAACTTGTAGGTTTATCTGACCTTATGTTGTGCTCGTGTTGCGTCTGCGTTTGGAGCTTATCTCCATGTGCTCTGGAATATTGGTGATAATCTTACAACGATTGGATGCGTTGTAACTATGATTTGGCTCCTTTCATGTCCTCCTTATGAACACGTATGTGGTGTTTAACTTAGTTTATAGTCTTTATCATTGTATCCAAGTTTGATTTTCTTGACATTGTTGTTTCCTTTGGTGCAGCAAAAGAGACTTTCTCTTCTGTTTGTGTCTGCTGTTCTTGAAGGTGCTTCTGTTGGCCCCTTGCTCAAAGTGGCAATTGATGTTGGACACTCACCGTAAAAGATGTCAATGGGTGAGTGAGTGGTGGGGTTTTTTAATAAAAATAAATTCTGCACAAGAACATGGCTAAAAGTTTTCTTTCAATTTTCATAATTTCATTTGGTTTACCCGAAAGGTTTATGTCAGATTTTGAAAGCCACCATCGTTAGAAGGATTTACGTATAAACAAGTTTAAGTGGATGTATTATCATGGACATCGACCATCTATTTTTTATTGACTATTACATGTTTGATCTTTAAGAATGACTAAATGTTCTATAAAAGATGGGTGTGTCCAACAAAAAAAAAAGATGGTCCTTAGAAAAATGGACGTCATGCGTGAATTTGGTGACTATCCACAAGTGGCCGTTCACATTTCTTCTTATGTTCCATCATAGTCAAATTAAAAA